AAAAAATAGAAAATTACTTGGGCATGGTGGTACGCACCTGTAGTTTTCCTAGCTACTCAGGAGGCTGAGGCAGGAGGATCACTTGGGCCCAGGAGTTTAAGAGATTGCTATGAGATAGGCTGATGCCATGGCACTCTAGCCCGGGCAACAGAGCGAGACTCTGTCTCAAAAAAAAAAAAAAAAAAAAAAAAAAGTTTTGGCTTGAAATATCGGATCTTAGCCAGGTATAATTTTTGTCTTCCAGGGTACATTTGGCAACATATGGAGACATTATAATTGTCACACAACAAGGGGGAGGCTATTGTCATCTAGTAGGTAGAGGCTAGGGATGCTGCTAAACATCCTACAATGCACAGGGCAATCCTCCCTTACTCTAGCAAAGAGTTATCTAGCTCCAAATGTCAGCAGTGGAGAGAGAAATAAAGCGTCAAAGTTGAGAAACTCTAGGCCAGTTGACAGTTATTTTGGCATGTTTTCTTCTTTCTCTCTTCTATTTCCTAAAACTAGCTTCCGAATGTGTCTTCTGTGTTACCTTGTAAGATAGTGCATGAAAATAGTATTTTTTTAAAACCAGATATTGTAAGTGCTGTGTTCTGTATCCTTCCTTCAAGGTTTTTGATATGATTAACATTTCAAAGACTGGGCCATCCTGAAGGAAGGAAATATGTTTAATTACATTTAACCCAGTAATATTCAATCTTATTTGCCTGTGGATCTTTTGTTCATAAATTATCGTTTGGCATGGGAAACCAGTTTTAAAATGACCAAAAATTCCTCTATATCTTTTGTTAACAAAACTCTTGAAGCCAAAGAATCGAGATTTTGAGGTTTGGATTTTCTCCCAGTGACATTTCTTTAAGCTATTTAAAGGATTATTTCTTTCCATAAGATACTGGAAAGAATCCATGGGACTTTTTGGAAGACTAAGAAGGGGCCAAGGAGTCTGGGAGTGGAAAGCAGGATTTTAGGATTAGATTTATGGCACAGGTATGACATCCTAAAGTTAAAGGTTTAAAAATACAGGGTATAGTAATTAAAATTAAAACTGATCTCCAAAGGGAAATTTATAGAAGTCTCAAATTTGCTATTTTGTATTTTCCTTTTAGGTATTTCAGGAGACTGGAAGAATCAATTCACTGTAGCCCAGTATGAGAAATTTGAAGAAGATTATAAAAGGAAAATGAAAGGGTCCACACTGCAGTTTCGATCAGAAATCTAAGAAGCATCTGCTTTTCCTCTATCTCGTTTAGCTAGCATCTAAATTATAAGAAAAAATCCCTTCAAACATTTAGCGAAAGAAAATTTGGTAGTGATGTTTCCTTATTTACTTAGATTAATAGAATAATCAAAGAATTTCAAAGTCTGCATAGGAAGTACCAATACTGTCCCTATGATTTTAATTATCTTCCACAATGATTTTACTAGTCTTACAAATGAAATCATAAAATGAAGTTTAAAATCTATGGAGTTACATATTTTATTACAAAAACCAAGGTCTGAATTGTTACACTTGCAAAGATGATATTTAGGGGAGTTTTCAAGATGGATGGATTAAAACCAAAACATTCCCTTAAAGAGGCTTTAATATCTTTTTGTTATATGCTTGGAATAATACCAGTGTAATATTAGATCAACAACATTTTTGTACAATGAGTTCACTGAAATTTATTGCCCTAGAAGAGTTTACTATAGATTAAATTTTGGAGAGTTTATTATTCATAGTGTCTTACTATTATACTTAATATGCTAATGATCTAAAATAATAAGAAAATAATCAGTAAATATGTGCTACAGAAGTATTGTTTACATAGTAATGTATTAGCTACTGTCAGAGAGAAAAAAACAGTTAACAATTATCATAATATCAAACTAATCAAAATTTATTAAGTACCTTCTGTGTATAAATAATGTGCTTTAGGGATAACAAAAACAAAGCAAGGATCCTGAACGCAAGCAGCTTTAAGTCAGGTCAGAGATAAAAAGAGAACACAGGGAAGCTTTGTAGCTTCTGCTCAATTTTGCTGTGAACCTAAAACTGCTCTAAAAATTAGAGTCTATCTTTTCCATTCTTGTGATACTTCACTTAGAAGGATGATCTCCAGTTCCATCCAGGTTGTTACGAAAGGTATTAGTTTGCCATTTTTTTATGGCTGAGTGGTATTCCCCGGTATATATATACCACATTTCATCATTAATCCACTCATGTATTGATGGGCACTTGGAAGGATCCCACATCTTTGGAATTGTGAATTGTGCTGCTGTAAACATTTGAGTGCAAGTGTCTTTTTTATAACATATCTTCTTTCCTTTGGGTAAATACCCAGTAGTGGGATTGCTGGATCTGATGTTAGGTCTACTTTTACAAGAATGGAAAAACACACACCACACGTACTTACTATTAATTTGGAACTAATTGATCAACACTCATGTGCACATACGGTAACATTTAAAACTCAGCGTAAATCAGGCAGGTGGGCGAGGGAGGAAGGGATGGGTAAATTCACACCTAACGGGTAAAATACACACTATGTGGGTGATGGACACACATAACTTTGACTCAGACTGTATAAAAGCAATCCATGTAACCAAAAAGTTCATACTCCTGTAATATTCTGAAATAAAAAAAATAAAGTCTATCAAAAATAAACCAAAACAAAAACACATACACATAAAGGAATAATTACGAGAAGAATTTAAGCAACAGCCACACTACTAATAGCTGGAATTTATTGAGAACTTACTATTTACCACACACTGCTCTATACAATTTACATGGCTTTACTTCAGCTAATATTCATTGACGTATTTATGATGGGTATTATAATTTTTCACAATTTTACTAATAAGTAAACTGACAGAGAGAGTAATTATATCCAAGCACACATGTTAAATATTCAGTAGAAATATATAGAAAGGATCATTTGATTTTTAATCCTTTTGGTTTTTTTTTCTTTTATTTCTTTTCTTTTTTTTTTTAGAGACAGGATCTCACTATATTGCCCAGGCCAGAGCACAGTGGCTATTTACAGGCCCATTCATAACTCACTATAGCCTGGAACTTTTGGCCTCAAGAGATCCTCCCACCTCAGCCTCTCAAGTAGCTGGGACTACAGGAATGTGCTACTGCACCTGGTTTTTTTTTTTTTTTTTAAATAATCTCAGATATTCACCATTATTCCCATGTTTGCTCACTAGCTATCATCTAGTATTCTCCTTCTATCATATTCTCACATACCTGCCATTGCGTGTTTATCATAGTACTTAATTTATAGCTTATGCAGATATTATTATATTTACAAAGATGACTGAAAATCTCTGGTGTGGAAAATAGAAGTTCTCAAATCTCAAGTTTTGTTACTGTTTGATGCTCTAATCTAGCAGTCTCCAAATCTTTTGAAATATTCACCATTACAATAAAAAGTTTTGAGTACTTTTGAGTACTCTTGATTGACATGGCAGAAAACTACATATCCATTTTAGTCTGTGGTTTCCCAGCCAATGAATATTCTATTCTTCTAGCCTGAGTCGAGAGACGTAGATGACAGGGTGGACACTGAGAAAAGAATAGTTCATATAAATTAAGGCATCCCTGATATTTTGGGAAATATGGACGTTTAGTAGTTCCAGAGCTAATAATATAGTTACTCTAAAAAATGAATATTTCCTAAATTATAAAAAGGGGAGTTTGCATAACAAAGGCCTTACTATAAAGAATAGATCCTAATATCTTCTGATTTTTTTGGCATTATATTGATCATAATCTAAATGGTCTATTAATCTGAAATCTTTGCATAAAAACACAAATTTATCTGAAGTCTGACACAATTTCCCGTAAAATTAGAGCATTGATCCCATAATTCTCATTGGTTATCAGGTGTAAACTAGTTAAATTTAGCCCAAATTATAAACTGTTTGATTCCTTTGGAAATTTTGACCATATTTGGTGCCTGACCGCCATGTACTGAATGATTTATAATCTCAGCTGGTTACAGAAAGCTCCTCAGAAGTCAGTATCACACAACTAATGGAGTCAACATTCATGTCTATTTGCTTATGCCTGCCTGCCTGTAGGTATTTTTATTATCTTTACTTATTGTCTGTTTGCTAAGCTTGTTGTTCACTGCTTGCTTTTTGTGTGTGGCTCAACTTTGGCTTCTAGTAATAGCTCTGATCCACAGCCTTGCCCCTCAGAATTTAAACATAATTGTAGACTGGATTACCCTTGTCTTGCTGACCTGTCCACAATGCCTACCTGGCCTCTTTTGGGCCCCAGCCAATCCTATTGTTATTTTGTCTAGTCAGCCCGGCCTCCTCTCCAACAGGACCCATTCACTGTTTTGTGTCTGTGAATTGCTTCCACTCTATTGATATAAACCTGGGAACTTCACAAGATTTTACTGCATTTAGTGCCTGATAAATATATCACACACTATTCTAGGTTCTATGAGGGATTAAAAAAAAGAGCTACTATTAGGGAGGAATGATAAAAGCATAGGCACTAAATATAATATGCCCAGTATAAAGTTACTTAAAAGAAAGAAATAAGGGTAATGATGTTGCTCCCAGTATAATAAGAGGAGGCTAATGAAGGGTGTCATTTTCCCAACAGATATTCAATCCATGGCACAATCCTCTTTGCCTTCCTTTTAATATGTGCAGAAAACTCATTTAGGCAAAAAACAGAAATGATTACTGCCACCACTTCTTGGCTCTTCCCATCATCCTACGTACTCTCAAGAAACAGACTTCCTACCTATCTGGAAAATCATTGGTTTCAGGGAGAAAGTTCTCAGATATATGGAAATAATATTTTTTACAATGGAGATTTCAAATCTTGACAGATGGAAGTTTCAAGGAGAAGTGTTTATTCCTTTCTTCTCCTGGTCCCTTAAGATTTACTAAAGCAAGGCAAAGCACTTTCTCCTTGTGCTCGGAGTTAGGCTAATCCTTTGAATTAACTTTTAGAGGGTCATTAGAGTTGCTTAACTAATGAGATGATAGTTTAAAGGAAGACCTTATATTTACCTGTGATTCATTTCTTCATTTCCTTTTTTTTTTAAAAAAAAGGGAGGAGGAAAACCTTAAAATTTTTTTTTTAAGAAAAGGAATCTAGAATTTAGCAAACTGGTAGACGATTTTAACATTCCATAAGTTTTTCCTACAGGTGTATCTCCTTATCTTTTGAAAACTTCACTAAGATCCTCTGTTACTTAATAGGATCTATATAGTATACCATATACTATATCTCTTTGTAATATTCTCATAAAATCCATTTTCTGTCCAAGCTGACTAGGTTCAAATATTTTTATCCTTATTCAATTTAAGTCTAGCATCCTTAACCTTTGATCCTTTTTTCCCCCAATCAATGGGAAAAGATAGTGTATCCCAAGAGTTACATTTATCTTCCCACTTTGCTATAGTATTTTATATTTTGTGTTTGTATTTGCTTGCATTGCTTAGACAGTGAGTGCAATAAAAAAGTATGGCTAAAAGCAGTCTAATGAAACTCTTCTTCCATATTTCCCTTTTCCTGTCTTTTCCTGTGTTGGGAGAAAGTATACTCTGTGTTGGGAAAAAGTATACATTTCCTTTTATTTCCTTTTCCAATTTGGAAGACACGACTAATATTTCTATACTTTTAATGCTGATCCTTAAATTTTGTGGCATATAGTTACATATTATTTATTTTATTTTACTGATATTAAAAGTAATTCGATATCTAGTCAAAGACCTTAGTGTGGTTTACGTAACATTTTACCTTTCCCTTCCCTACTTTACATAACATTATGTAGAGTTGCTCTATCTTTTATGCAAATATGTCATTTCATTACCATGAATGTTAATACTATTATAGTAATTATGCAAATTATATTTTATTGGTGTTTTCCTCATTGCTGCTGCTTGTATTTTTCTCCTTTCCATTAAGTTACTTTTTCTTCTTGTTGAAGTTGTACAGTTATTTAAATTAAGGGTCAGGGGTGGCGGGTGAAGTAAGTATTTTTATTTTTCATAAGTCTACGTTTTCTCTGCAATTGTGAATAGTTCAGCTGGGTGTACACATTTTGTGTTGACAGTCACTTTTCTAAAGCACTTTCAAGATATTATTTCCATTGTTTTATGGCTTCTTATTGTTGTAGGTGAGAAGTTTGTTTTCAACTCAATTGTTGTTACTTTGAAGGTAATCTGTTGTGTTTCTATGATAGCTTTTAACATGTTATC